CGCACCCCACATCGCGCTTCTGGCCGACATACAGGTCGCGGATGCAGAAGCGAGGAGGCTGTCCAGCGTAGAGTATGTGCATGTACATGTACACGATATCTCCACGCGCAAAATTGTCAAAGAAGTCGTCGTCTCCCGCTCCGTTACCTTCCTCGATCTGGCCAGAGAGGTGGTATTTGGAGTTGAAGATGGTGTACTGCGTGCGCAAAGCCGAGAACAGGGCACGCAGCTTTTCTGGAGCAAAGGGCTCCACCCGAGCCGCCCGAGGGTTGATGGTCGACACTCTGGTATCAGGTTGCACGTTCTCCGGCTTCTAGTTGGGGTTGTTGAAGAAGTCGTCGCACAACACCTTCCACAGATCCTTGTTGCGAGTGCTCTTGTCGTCCAGCGTCTCTCTGCGCGCCTTCTTCGTCACTCCCCCAAAGATCAGCTCCAAGATGTTGGTCGATGCAGGATCATCGGCCAGGTGCGATGCTCGAGCACGTGTCCTCAGGATCAAGACCAGGTCCCTCGTCTCCGTCTTCTTCGTCACCATCACCGGGGGGACGAGAGAGCTGCTTCATCTGAACCCTGAGAAAGTGCAGACCGGGGGTGGAGAGGTTCGCGAACAACACCCTCTGCTTCACTTTCTCCTCCCTGCTCTTGCCGAGCAACAGTCCAACACTCGCGGTAAAGTGGGCGTGCTTCTGCGTCTCCCGCAGCATCTTGTTCGCCTGCGTCCCCAGCTTTGCCCCCTTTGTACCCAAAGGAGAAGTCCCGTTGGATGGTTGACACTGAATGTTGTGTTAAGAGCATTACAGATAGATCAAGCTGAGCAAGCAGGCAGACATGCAGTGGATGCAGCCTGTGCAGGCAGAGCCACACACAGCAGCAGAAGCGTAACGGCTGCCGTGATGGAAAGTACGTACTGTATGCAGAGAGAGGGTTAGTCCGTAACGGACAAACGGGAGACAGTACGTACTGTAGCGTCACACTGCCCCCCTCCACCGGAAAAAGAAAACTTACTAAAAGAAAACCTCTAACTAGAGGAAAAAAAATAAAAATGAATTAACTTATGAGGGCTGGGATGTTGAGGGAGGGATGGAATGATCCTCTAACTAGAAGAAACCCTCTAACTAGAGGGAAAAATGTAAAAGTAAAAAGAATTCTTCTAACTAGAAGGAACCTTAATAAATCCCTAGAAAAATCCAAACTGGTAAAAAGATTGGGTAACAAAAGTAACTACTTATGCTTAGTAGGTATCAGCGATCGCTTGCGATTGCATTCAAATACTCAATCAACTGATCGGTATCACTTAGGTTCCCCTTCAACAGTATAATCGTGTCAACAGACAACGAATTCCATTTGGGTACGTCTATTACGCTGGTCCACTTTCAACTTGAAATTGATGTGTCGTTGTAAATAGTCGTTATTGGTTAGTGTATAAAAGATGCCGAACCCCTCTTTCCTAATCACGAGTGAAAGACCGACGCTTCGCGTCGGGCATTCACTCGAGTATTCGTACTGAAAAACAAAGTATTTGTATACGCAATATCGTGGACGTTTAATTTTAAATACCGTTTTTTTTTGTGAAGGTATGTATATATTACTATACGAAATAGTAATAATACGTATGATGTTGATAATAGAAAATAGTAATAATACGTATCATGTTGATAATGTACTGGTGATAAATTAATATATCTCTATATTACA